GACGACACACTTACAGCTTTTGTTATTTAAAATTGTTATTTATCAGATTTTTAAAAGAAAATACTTTTAAAAGTGACTGGGGACAGGTCCCCACCGTGTCCCCGGCGTCCCCACCGTGTCCCCGGCGTCCCCACGTGTCCCCAGGAGGTCCCGTCAGTGACACCTATGCCCATAAAGCAATGCACAGCTGGGAAATAATCGACACCAGCGCCTGTCATGAGATGTCGTGAAATAATCTCTTATGTAGGAGATAAGAATATATTTAAAACAAAATTCTGTTTATATTCAGCTTGTCTCTAATCTTAGATTCTTTCTCGTGAGTTTGAACTTTTTCGGGATCAAATTAAATCATCTGAAAAAAGAAAAACCTCTCTCGTGAGCTGCTCATGACCGTGAGAAAATAAACAACAGTCAAGTTTTTCAGATCCTCTTTACTGTCAGTCGCATTTTACGTGCAGTATTTGCTCTCTTTCTTCTCCCTTCTTTATTGTTAATTGTTCCAAGAGCGTCACTTTGTGTTGAAAAGTGGTGGGAGGGGCTCAGATTAGAGCTGTGAAAGCTTCTGCACCAATTTAGTTGTTTAGTATTTTATTTATGTAAAAGGAAACACAAGATCAGGTGAGATTTCAAAATATCTAAATATAACAGTAGTAAGTAAAGTTATTTGTACAGCACCTTTCACAGATAAAAATCACAAAGTGCTTCACAATAAAATGTGATCCAACACAACAAAGTAAAAAACAATGCATAAGAAAATTTTAAAACAATGGAAAACATAGAACAAAACCCATAAAAACACCGCGTCTAACTAAAAGCCTGCTTGAATAGCAGCGTCTTCAGTCGCTTTTAAAAGAATCAACAGAATTCACACAGCGTAGAAAGGGAGGTAACGACGATCCCTCTGGTTTTAAATGAGTGCAGGGAACCACTAACGACCTCTGACCTGATGACCTCAAACTACAGGTCGGAGTATGAAGCTGGATCAGTTGAGATGTAGGGAGGAACTTGACCTGCAGGGCTCTAAAAATAGGACCAGGATTTAAAACTGAATTCTATACTTGACGATAACCAGTGAAGTGCTGCTAAAACAGGTGTGATGTTCGCTCTTCTGTTAATGTGAGTTAAAAGCAGCCTGGAGACGGTTAAAGTCCTTCTTGCTCAAACAAGTAAAAAGACTTTACAGTAATCTAAACGAGAGGAACTAAAAGCATGAATGATCATCTCTAACTCGCTCTTTGACACCAGTGTTCTTAATTTGGAAATATTCCTTAGGAAGAAACAGTTTCTGACTAGTTGTTTGGAGTGGTACTCTAAGGACATCGCTGAATCAAAAACAACACCTGAGCTCCACAGACGAGCCTAAGTCACCAATATGCTGTTTAATCTGAGGGATTCCACTTCCAGGGGCGATAATCAATGTTTCTGTTTTCTTCAGCAGCAGGAAGTTGTCACATAACCACTGTTTAATACGGGTCAAGCAGTTAGTTAAAGACGACTTTATGGAACGCAATACAGCTGAATATCATATATGTCACTGAATAGACTAATTATCTGTCCGAGAGGATTTATGTACAAAAGGAACAGAATGGGTCCCAAGACAGAACCCTGAGGTACCCCACACGACAGTCCTGCAGTTTCAGACATGATCTGATTTACATAAACACTAAAACTTCTACCAGAAAAGTAGGATGAGAACCATTTTAAAACTGATCCTAGTGTCCCCAGTGTCCCCAGTGTCCCCAGCGTCCCCAGCGTCCCCAGCGTCCCAGCGTCCCAGTGTCCCAGCGTCCCAGTGTCCCCAGTGTCCCAGTATCCCAGTGTCCCCAGCGTCCCCAGTGTCCCCAGCGTCCCAGTGTCCCCAGTGTCCCAGTGTCCCAGTGTCCCAGCGTCCTAGTGTCCCCAGTGTCCCCAGTATCCCAGTGTCCCTAGCGTCCCCAGCGTCCCCAGTGTCCCAGTGTCCCAGCGTCCCCAGTGTCCCCAGTGTCCCAGCGTCCCCAGTGTCCCCAGTGTCCCCAGTGTCCCAGCGTCCCCAGCGTCCCAGTGTAATTGCCACCTATGAACTGTTACGCAGTGACCAAAGCAGACTCCCTGAATGTTTTAACCTGATTCTGATATAAAGGGCTTTAAAATAATCGAAAAACATGTTTGCTGATGGAGAAACTTTGTCACGTCTCTTGTGAAGTGTTGATTGCCGTCCGTCGTCACAGTTGAGATACTTTCCCAGGTGTTGTGAAACTTTCATATCATTATCTGGCTGTTTACATTCACCCCAGATGCAAATTCAAAAAATGCAGTGTGCAGTGTTGGGCTCGTAGTATATGTAGGTAATAACTGTATATATGTTTTATTTTACGTGTTACCATATTTAATATGGGCCTACACCTAATTATATGTTGGATATGTAAATTTCATTTCGTTATGCAGCCTGTGCTGTTTAATGACTAATAAACTACCTCGTAAACTGCATGTTGGTTAATCATCTCTCGACCTGTGAGATTCATCTGGTGACCCTTTGTAGAGGCCCTGCCCCTCAGGTTGGGAACCACTAGATCCACATGTTATGTTCAGAATACAAAAAAACAACAAACTGTGAACCCTGAAAAACCCGTCTTCAGCATCTTTTACCTGATCTGAAAGCACAAGGGAGCCGAGTAGGGATACCGGGTGGTTGTAACAAACCCCGATTCCACCAATTGGAGACAAGATAGGAGTCATGACATCATCTCAGTATTTTCCTACTTCCTTCCTCGATCAGGCCACAAACAGTTACAGCCAGAAACATAGAGAAAAAACTGGTTTTGAGATGAGAAGGACTTTTTTTAGATTGAATTGTTTGACTGAAGTAAAATGCAGTTTTTTAACATGTGATGCATTTTTACCCCGATCATTTCAACTAGGGGGGTATTACAGACAACCAGGGCGGCAGTCTGGGAGCCTGCACTCCACGGTTACCAGCACTGAGACCAGCACTCCCCAGTTCACATGCTGGAGACACTCGATCTTTTTAATTCAGATTACTGCAGCAGCCTTTTCACGAGCTGAACCCAAAAATCTATTGATCGACTCCAGACGGTGCAGAACTCAACTGCCAGGCTGCAGAACCAGAACAGAGAAATACGACCACATCACCCCTGTTTCAGCTTCATCACACTGGCTCCCACGATGTTTTAGAATCACTTTTAAAGGGGACCTATTGTGCTTTTTCATATTTTCTGGCATATCCATAATGTTACAAAGTCAGATGTTCATGTTAAACGTGGCCAAAGCTTCAAATAAATCCCTGTGAGCCAAAACCTCAGATATGTCCCCAGAGAATGCTGGCCACGCCCACAAAGGAACGTGCAGCCCTTTCCCTGCCGCACCTGGTAAAACATAAGACAATGGCCAATCAGAAGCTTTGAGAGGGGGCCTTAAAGAGACAGGAGCATCTACAGCTTGCAGGCCTGCGTGAAGAGTCGGTATAAGATAGAAAATGATTGTTTTGACCTTTGAATCCTGCCAAGCTGCCATAGAGGAGTCACAGAACTACAATATAGGACTGGAAAAGCAGTAGAATAGGTCTCCTTTAAAGCTCCTCCTGTTCTACCTCTGACCTTTCAGTCACACCAGCTACACTGAAGGGGACAGTTTGCAGTCGGGGCCCCGAGGCCCTGGAACAGCCTGCCTGACGAAATCAGGTCGGCTGAGTCAGTGAATTCTTTTAAGTCCCTTTTTAAATCATACTTTTATAGGTTGTGAGAAGTGCCGGCGTGCACGACAAAGTCCTGGGACGCCAAAGAGTAGGTACCTGGTACTGGTGAGTACCGATCCACTTCAAGCACTGACTGTGACTCTGATTAAAAACACACACAGATGTTTTTCTATCATCACTTTTGTCACAAAATCAGCGAGTTATGTTTGTTGAAGCAAAATGTGTTACAACCTTGGATTTCCTGTTTCC